CCCCCCCCCCCGAGACTGCAGTGGGGCAGAAATGGCATGGAAGATGGGGTGAGAGCAGGGGGTGCAGAGGCGGGGATGGGGGGAGGGAGAGGAGGGATAGGCAGTTGCTCTGGGTCTGGCCTTGACCCAAGGCTGGGGGTACAGCCAGAGCTGCAGAAGCTGCCTGTCCCATCCCCACGCCCCCTTTAATACTTAATTCCAAGATGAGGCTCTTTCCCTACCACCATGTTAAAATGAGGAAAAGCCCTCATCTTGGAATCAAGTGAATACAATAGGCGGAATTTACATTTTTATTATCCTCTGTATGCTATGACCTGCATATATCAGGCTTTAGCCACTCACAAAGCTCTTCATTCTAGTTGGAGGAGAAGTTCTTTGTACACACTTTATATTTCGTGTTGTTTGGCATAAAGTGAATACTAGTGCTTCAAGTAGTCCTTTCATGCCAGTCTTCAGAACAGACATATGCCAAACACAAAAAAATATTTTTTTGTTTGTCACCTTAAATGGTGGAAAAACAGTTCTAGAAGCACTGCTTGATTTGCCAACTTTCCTGTACTTGATTAAAAGGAAAAGACTTACAGGGCACAAGTAATTCAGTGATATCTGCATAAGGAGATTAAAGAACATTTCTCATTAAATTTTTTCCTAAAACCATGATAAGAGGCCTTTCTACAGTGGCACGTCCAAGAATTTGTTTTCTCACCTGAAGTCCAACATTGTCTGCTTGTCCACCTTTAACTAACTGAGAGATAAAGAGCCCACAGGTAAATTCCAGTCCTCCTCGCACACTTATTCCAAGCCCTTCAGGATGCAAACGATCCAGTCTCACTTCCTTCAGCTTTCTGCAAAAGGGGAATTTTTCATAGCATTGAATTGAATAATAAGTTGTGACAAGTGAATTTTCATTTTTATTGTTTAAATATTTTTCACTCATCATACTTGGATTTGAGAAAGAAAAGACTACTAAAACTACACTTAGATAGTGTGGCCAAATAAACCAATTGTTATGGAGTAACTTAATCCAATTTTTTTCTGCAGTAATTTTACCCCATAGTAAGAAATGAACACATGACTAACTTTCCAAAGCTAGTTTCCTTCCATAGATGTTATTACAACATTTTGGCACTAAATAGAAAGAGAACCAATTTGCATGGAGGAAAGGGTTAACTCCAGATGAAACTGTTGAAAGGAGAGAATACACAAAATGTACAACTTAATAACCAGGGGTCACTTGCTAGAATTTTTTTGTGGGGTAACTTTACTCTGGAGAAGAAAGAGCTACTAGTAGCATCTACAGGAGATGCTGACTGCATAGTCATTACTGCACAGTCATTTAGTACTTGTATAAATAAGTACTAAATGACTGTGCAGTAACCCCAGTTACTGCGCAGTAGCACTGACAAATGGCTTTTTTGTGATGCTGACTGTGCAGTAGCCCAGGATTGTGCAGAAGCATCATGTCTCAGTTTCTGCTATGAGACGCTACTGTACAGTAGGCTCTGTATTAATGCTGTGTGATGTGTCTACTTCACTTTTACTGCAAAATAGTCCATTTACTCCACAATAAGTTTGTTATGTGTCCATTCCCTAGAGTTTATTCCCTAAAAAAATATCTAGGACAATGTTAGCTGTTTGCAATGGCACACATATGACTAGACCTGTGTGACTGACTTGCTTTTTCAGTTTGCTAGCTGACTGAAATATTTTGTTTTATAGGAATGAAGCATTGTGGCCTCGTATTTATTTTACTGTCTTTTGCTATTTAGAATTCAAAATTGAAAATAAAATTATTCTACAATAAAAAAATTAAACACTTCTTTTATTGTTTTCCCCCTTTACAACTGTTTTGTAAAATGTGATGAATAATTTCAGTCAAACCAAAACTGCAGTTCTTGGCAAATAAAATACTGATAACTAAAATACTGATCCCAGTTTTATATTGAATATAAATATTCATATTCCTCCAAACAACTGACTTGATTGCATATCAATAAGCAATTCTTGTCTGCGTTCACAAGAAATGATCTGTTATATTCTAAACTTCCTTACCTTGACCGTTTTGGTGTTAACTGATCATATTCCACCTGGTGTTTTAATGGGATAAGAGGACGGATGGCATCAAAAAGAGGCAATCTACTTGGTTCATTTATCACAAGCTTTAGGTCTCCCACCAGCACTGGAAGATCCATGGATCTAAAAAATACATCAAAAGCACAGGACTGGGTGAACAACACTCACTACAATGATGTTTCGTTTGTAACTTATACACACTAGTATAGAAACCAGTTCTATTGCATACGTGACTTGCTAAAAACATTTTTAATGTTGAGCAAAGACAAGTGAGGTACAGTAGTTATCATCTCTGTGTCTATACAGAATTTGTAATGGATATTTTTCAAAATCAAATGAACTATATCATGTTCTATATGAGTGTTTAATCTGTAGCAGTTTTACAAGGAGTCTAAAACCATCACAGAGGTCCCAAAAGTGGATCTATACTATTTTCTGGTCACAACATTCAAAAACAAGGGAAACCTGTCTACTGGATTTTGGTAACTGCCTGAAATTCTTCCCGCATTTGAAAAATTTCTGAGTAAATCTGGGCCAGGTTTTGGGTAAATGTCTTCTTTTTCCTGGATTCAGAGGACAGATTTATAGTTTTGATCCAAAAGATACATGCTGCTCCAAGTTAGAGCTAGATTTTGCTTGCATTTTCTGGCTCATTTCAACTTATGCTGCAAAGTGAAATTTAAAAAGATGATAAACCATATAAACCAAAATTATTGTGAATGGACACTGGGGATTTTCATGCCTAACAGTTCTTGATACTGCTTTTATCAACTCTGGGATATATTTATGGGGCCACATTGTGTTTTTTGTCTTATGAATCTAAATCTAGAATGATTCTGTTAGTGCACAAGAAATTACTCTAGTGCAATGGACAGCAGAATTTGTACCATAGTATTTGCCTATTCTTTGTAAGGTGCTTGTCATCATAGCATTTAGGTTTCCTGGCATTTTACTTTTCTTTACTTATAGCCACTTAACATTAACAGCAATTAAATACACCTCAAAATGAGGTCAGATTCCCAAATATTCAAACCAACTTGAAAATGCTATTTACAATTTAATGGATTTTAACTTCTGCTTATGACATGGGGTTTTTTTCCCCTAAAAAATTCTCTCTTTTTTTATTATGATCAGCCAGTAAACCTCAGTAGCAATGTCTGGTAATTTATTTAAAATGCAGAACAACTTTTGAACTTGAGGGAAAAGTCAATGTTTGAGGTATCTGTTAATTTTGTAACTGTAGGAAAGTTTTAAATAATTAACAACCACTGATTCCTCCCAATTTCACAAGTAACAGGCAAAGCTTTATGAACGGAGAAGCAATTAGGCCTGAGTGAAATCCTATCAGATATGCAGCTGAGTGCATACAAAACTATATCTTAGTACAAAGACCACATAGAAGGGTCTCCATTTCAATTCACTAACATGCTATTAATTAAGATATGAACAGAAACAATGTCTAGAGTCACCTGTCTATGAAGAGTGGAAAAAATATTCTCATCTTCCTTAAGAAACAGTAGCTCAGATTCTGTCCAACACTGCACTGGTATAAATCCAATGTCACACCATTGATTAACATCAAAACACATGGAACTGGTACCTGGCCTAACATCTCACCACTGATATTTTTGTCACAATGTCATAAAATACTGAAATGTGCAAGGCAGATTTCCATTCAAATGCATTAAGTGCTTTTCTGCCAAGACAGTTTACAATACAATATTTACCTAAATCCAAGACAACTTTGAATTTAAGATGACCCCCAATAATTAGATTCCATACATGGAAAATTATGTTTATTATAATAAAATAATTGTAAAATAAAATGATTCTTATAAATAAGCTTATGATATTCCATGTATGACGTCTAATTACTGGAAGGCTGTATTCAATTTCCCCACCCCCGTCTGCTAGGGTGGGGAAAACAGTGGTGGTAGGGACCATGCCTGTGGTTGTGCCTGTGCTTGCCCCCTCCATTTACTCCCCACCGCCTACCTACCCTACCCCTTGCCCCCAGTGCCTGTCCCTGATCCCCTATCAACTGTCCCCATTCCCTTTCCTCCCCGTTTCTGTGCCTGTCCCTGTGCCACCTGCCCTCCCCTCCCCATCTACTCCCCTGCCCCCACCACTTACCTTCTGCGTAGCTCTTGGTCCAGCTCTGGTTCCAGCTTGTAGGCAGTGAACAGTGGTAGCCCTGGCCTTGGCCCTAGCACAGCCCACTAGGCAGAAGCAGTGGTGGCAGCCCCCAGGCCCAGCCAAGCCAGAGGTAAGTGGCAGAGGTGGGGGGTAGGCAGGCTGGGTGGTCTTCCCCACACTCCCCACCAAGCTTCACATTGTGGCTCTCCCGTACATCCCCCACCCCCTGGACATCCTGCTCTGCGCCCCGTCCACACAAGCCACCTGGGTCCAAGACAAGTGGCAGCTCAGCTCTGGCTTCATCTCCATGTCTAGTGCTGGGGCCTGAGCAGTGGCTTGCCCCACCAGGCCAGAACTTGAATCTAAGACAAGGCTCTTCCCTTCACTGCCCCCTCCATGTTGTTGGGGGGGGTGTTCGTAGGTTTGAGTAAATACAGTACCTTTCCTAAAGTGGAAAAATCTGTAAGAATGGGGAATTAAACATAACAAGCAAGCTGACTAGTTAAATAATGCCAGTAAAATCACTACTATTTCCAAGCATGCTACAGTTTTTTTTCTAATGAAGGGCCTATTATGCACATGATTTTTTTACTTTATGATCCATGAAGTTTTCATTAATTTTATACTTTGTAAGTCTCCAAGAACAAACTAATGCTAATGCTATGCTCAAACTTAAACATCCAGTTATTTGTGTGTTAAATCATAAACCTAAAGGACTTTGTTAAATAAAACTAAAAACTAGTACTTCAGCTAATTTTCTATCGACTATCCTTAGATTTACTGTTTCATTAATTTTTTGACTGTTTCATCTTTAAATAAACAATGCAGCAGTGCTATAGCAGCTTTGAAAAGTAGGAAGTTAGAACTTACTGGTGGTACATCCGCAGCACATCATAAAGATAATCCTTCTCTGCTTCATTGTCAATGAGGAAGTCAACCTGAAAATGCAATTGTATCATTCTAAGTCTGTTACCAAATAGTCAGAGCATAGTCCCAAATTCCTGAGCAAGGGACAGTATATTCCATGGGAAAAACTTTTTTCATACCTAAATAGGATCTTTGCATTTGAAACTTAAAACAAGTTTTTTGTATTAATGCTACAACACTGACCACCAAGTCAAATTCCTGCTATCACAGATTTTTTAATACTAATTTTCCAAAAATATAGTATAACATCACATTCTTATCTTACCTGATAATGACTGTACTGCTGAATAAATATTTTCAGAAACCTTTTCGGCCATTCATTAATATAGCACATGCTTTCCCAACCAAAAACGTCACAAGACAATTATACTTTTTGATTAGTGGCCTTAGACTACTGATTTCAGCATCTCTTACATGGTTACATGAACTCCCATGCTAGACTAGATTCTTCCTCCCAGCATGAGTATTCTGACAGAGCTTGCTGCTTGCTATTCATTCTTTCCTCCTTCTGCAATAGGGCATTCACTTAAACTAGCATCAGATTACAAGGCTTTCATTTTGCTAGCTGCACTAAAATAAAATTTAAAAGTACAGAGTTTAGACACACCATGAGCCAGAGTCTATCTTCAAGACCCATAAAACCTATAGACTTTTAAAACATCCCACCAGTTTTACTTTTAGATAAGCTTAATGTTTAGGCAAACAATTTATGTCTAATCTAAGAGGCTAAAATTACCATAACAAAGTCCAATGACAAATTTGCATATTTAAACAATTTTTATTTTAGGTTCACAACACTGATGTCACATCCTAAATTTATTAAATGTTTCACACCATATTGTATGCTACTTCTTGCTCTCCTTTTATATGTACTTTCCTATGACTCCCTCTGAGAAGATACTATTATAATATTTCTTTTTCTTTATAGTATATATTTTCTAAGTTTTAATTATGCACCGGGTAATATTGCTCGATTAAACAATACTAATAAGCGCTCTGCAACTATGAATTTCAGAGACAAAGCATGCATAAAAATGAAACCATATGCTTGTACTCAGAAACTTTTTGATTCAGCTTAATTATACATGATGGAAACTCAAGATAATACAGATGGTGCCAAATTTACCATTGCACTACGCTCATACAACCAGACTGGTTTTACTAGTGTTACTCAATATCTGTCCTGGCCCAGAGGACCCAACTGCTACTTGCAGGTCAGGTGTTAGGAAACAAATGTACTCTGTTTGTAGCCTGAAAGCATCTAACACCAGCTTTCACACACAGGATTTTGTCATGCCTTCATCTGCTACGTTAAAGAACCTTCTATTATCAAAATATTCCCCTTGTGTAGGAACTTACAGTCAGCAACTGTCATGTTATAATGTAAGCCCTCTTCTGAAAGGTATTCAAAACACACCAACACATCCATCAGGAGACTTAAGAGCCAGAATGTCAACCTGCTCCCTCCAGTGTGACCCTGAAAAAATAGCAAATTGAGAAAAAAAAGTGCCGTGTGGCTTGGAAGTCTAGCAGCCATAGGCCTATTTAAGGCCTTGGAATGGCATGCCCACTGTTCCTCACAATTTTCAGCGGTGGGAAGCATACAGAGTATAAATCTTGCTGTTTCTTCTTCCACAACATCCATCCTGTCCTCTCTGTGCACACTGCTAAACCTCTTATCCAGGCCCTAATAACTGTATGGCCTAACTACTGCAACCTCATCCTTTTTGGTGTGTCAGACAAGTCAAAACTTTGCTGCTACGATCAACCTGGCCAAGTTACAGCACCTCTTTCAGAAAGACAGCTAATCTTGATTGAAAGCAGTTCCCATGATGAATAAACTATCATACAAATTAATAGGTTGTTATTTACTCTCTCTGCTAAACACCTGTTTCTTGCTTGTAGTCTGAAAAGCTAAAAACAGACATTGTGTTTAATCCTGAGCTGACTGTCCCAGGTTTGACTCACATTAAAACAGGGGCATGTTGGGGGAACGAGGGAAAAATGATCTTTACAACTGCAGCTTGAATACCGGTTAACTAGAATTAGCCATTACTGCCTCAGCCCAAAGTGTTAATTTGGATACTCTACATGTACTTAATGCATGACAGTGGATCCCAGATAAAAGGCTTTGCCCCAGGAGAAATCCAATGTCCATCTTTAGACAGTGCGCAAGCACAAATTTTCATGCAATGGATTTTGTTTTGCCTTGCCTTCATCTGCTAAATTAAAGAAACTTTTATTGTCAAAATATCTTTCTTGTATAAGAACTTAGAGACTGATCATGTTACCTCCTAATTTTCTCTTGGGGAAACTAAACCAGCAAACCTCCTTTAAACTCTCACTGTAAAGCAGATTTTCTAGACCTTAGATCCAGTTTTTTATCCCCAAATGTCAATATTCTTTTCAACTATGGGAAATGTACTTAGCACCCTACCACATGTTCAACTTAATATTGGATAGAAACCAGCTATAAACTTGCTACACATTTTTAAGCACTAACTTTGCAGCTTGGTGGATCTTTTAATAGCTGGACAGACATTTTGGTGGCGTGATAACTACTTTGCATGTGTGGCCATTCTACATTTATTGCATGACTAACCAGTTAATTACATGATAATGACTTTGTACATGTGTCTGGTCTAAATTAATTGCATGATTAAACAGTTAATTGCATAATATAGGTAATGTGTGGCAGGGCCTTTAGACAGAGTATTCCAGCCACAATGTCACTATGGGCATGCTTACAGTGGAGTTACAGAACCATCTTCAGCACAGTGCAAGGAGACCTAGTTGGCTTTAAACTAGACAGACTGCTACTAGTATCCAGTTGGCCACAGCTGCTCCTAGCTCAGGGCAGACTAATTTACCATGCTTCTTGATATGTCACCTTGTACACGCTGGCACTGACACCTCCTAGTTCTATTAGATAGTCTCTTGCAGATGCAACCAAAGATCACATGCACTCTCTTGGACACTGTCCAGACACATTCAGTTGTTTATCTATCCTAACCCCCCTAACTCCTTTTCTGAATCAATGCTTTGCAAAATATAACCCTGTATTAAGGATTATACTAAAGATTAAGTCTGGAAATGTGATTTACATTCTTGGTTCCTTGTTTTACCTTTCTTATATTTAGCTGTATTAAAATTTGCATTGTCCAAGCAAGCCCACCTTACCACATGACCCAGATGGCTCTAACTCAGTGGTCACCAACCAGTGGTTCTCGATTGACCGGTAGATCTTGGAGCCTCTTCGAATTGATCCAAGGCTGGGGTGGGTGACTGAGTGCATGTGCATGCACGTGCATGCCCAACCCGTAGCCCAGCAGGTCAGTCCATAGGGCCTGGAAGGGGTGGGGGCCAGATCGAGACCCCTACAGTCAGGGACAGTGCCACAGAGGCAGACGCAGGGTGGGGCCCCAGCCAACCAGGCAGGTGGTGGGAGGATCGAGCCGTGGTTCCTGCCACTCTGTGTACCCAGTGGAGGCCCTGAGGGCCACGTATCCCCCCCATCTGTGTGAGGTGGAGGCAGCTGTGGTTGTGGGCTGGGCTTTGCTCCCTGAACCCAGCTGCATCCCACCTGGGAGTGGCCCAAAACCATGCAAGTCCCACTGCTGGGCTGGCAAGGGATGAGGCTCATCCCAGTGGCTGGATGCACATGCTGAAGCTGGTCATGTGGTGCAAAGCCCAGCCTGCACATATGGGGGGGAACGTGGTCCCCCCCAAATGCTAGGCAGCACTGGCAGCTGTAGCAGCAATGAGAGAGGGAGGGAGGGGGGCTGGAGCAGGGGAAGGCCCTGCACAGCTTGGGTGAAGGATGAGCGGTGAAGGAGAAAGTCATGAGTGGTGAAAGAGAAAGTAAGGATCGATCTGCCCTGCCTCTCCGCCCCCCAATAGCTCCTTCCCTCACAGACTTACCTGCTGGGGTGGCTTGCCCCAAAATAACTTTTTCCTCCCTCTGTCTCGATCTGTGCCCCCCCCATTCCCTCCCCACCTGCAGGGGGAGTGAGGGGGTGGGCACACATGGTAAATCGTGGGTTGCTTTTAAATGCCAAAGGAGACACCATTGAGACAAAGGTATATCACACATCATCAGTTTATGGTAGTGATTCTCAGCCAGGGTGACCTGAGATCCTTTGAGGGGTGCTGCAGGAATGTGAGGAGATAAGCAGATAAGGGATGACTCAGGCTTCAGGTATGATTAGATAAGCTAATAGGGACAGGCTCAGGCTCTTCCTGCCTGGCTGTCTCCAACCCCCACTGCCTAGCCCCTCTGCAAGGAGGCAAGCACAATAATAAAATCAATTGGTTCTAGAAATGGGGTGCGACCGATCAATTCACAAAAGTTATGGAAGGGTGACTCGAGTCAAGGGAGGGGTGTCTTTGACTCTAAAAAGGTTGAGAGCCACTGGTTTAGGGCATTTATCAACATAAAAATTAGCTCAGTTAAATACTGAGCCCTATTGCAAAAAAAAAGTTCAGCAGAGAAACAACATTAAGATGCATAAGGAACAAGTTGGAGCCATATTAAAATTTTTATGTTATTATTCAAGGCAAAGGCATTATTTCACCTACAATGCTGTGTTCAGTTATGGTTACCCTACCTCAAAAGGGTATTAACAATAGAGAGGGTATTCAGATGATGAAATCTGAGGCATGGAAAAACTTCCACATGAAGAGAGACTGGACAGATTAGAACTGTTAGCTTGATTTAGACAGATTTAGGATAGAGATGTAGAAACTAATGACCAGCAAAATATGGGTGGGGTGTTCCTATTTTTACTTCCTCATAATTTGAGGACCAGGTAACAGTCCATGAACTTGAAGAGAAGACGATTTAAAGCCAATAAAAGGGAATACTATTTTCACATTGCATAGTTAATTTGTGGAATTCTCTACCACATTGGTTCTGAACCTTTTTAGACTCAAGGCACCCCTCAGAGGAGTCCAACTTCTAGTTTTCACTCATTTTTTGACTACAGAGAAATAATGGAGCAAGTTGTCTGCTGCAAAGAGCTAAGAAAGACCACAACAGGTCAGAATGTTTTTAACATTATGAATTCCTATTTAAAAACTCTGGTTTTATTTTGTGAATCATGTTTGTACACCTAATAGTACTAAAGTTGAGTGGTACCTTGGGGCACCCTTGGAAGGATCTCAAGGCAATCCAGGGTGCTAAGACACTCTAGCTGAGAATCACTACTCTACCACAAGACACTGGAGACAAAAGTTGGGAAGATTTTAATTAAGGAGACATTTATCTGACTGTACAGAGAACATCCAGAGTTACAGGGGAGACAAAAATATAAAAAGAATATAAACTGCTCGTATTTCAGGATGTGAGCTAGCCTCTGGAAAGTGTTAGGTGCTGTTACGGACAAGTTTTTGACAAGTTATACTACAGTTGCAGTTTCTTTCCCCTTCCTTAGAAGATTCTGGTACTGGCTATTACCAGAAACAGAATACCTGACCACTGGTTTAGCTCAGTCTAATAGTTCCTGTTTCTATCTCTGCAGTCAATATAGGTTTAAGAGCCAAATGCATTATGAATAAACAGATGTGGAGACAAAGGATACTATATGTAAGTATGAACACACATCATAAATGCAAGATTTGTTCTTTCCTTAAGCAAGCTTCATTAACTATACTATTAAGCCTAGGAGGGTACAAACAAACCAGAGATGAACAAGCCGTTACAACATCTCAATTTTACACTATGAAAAAATACCTAGATTGGAAAATAAATACATTTTAAGGAGACTTTGTACAAATAATATATAGCCTGGTTACTTAACCCAAGTCAGTTAGAGCTACAAGGATACGTGGGCTATTACCCAAATGGTCAAGAGTCACACTATTGTGCATCTCAAGAGTTATATCACCTTACACCAGTTACAGAGAATGACATGAAAAATAAATGTAGACATTTTCATTAGAAAATAAAACACTATTTATATAGATTCAAAATAAAAACTCAACTGATACAGAAATGGCACATATTCATTTAAGGACATCTTTATACAAATTGTGTAACTCTGAATTGTAGACTACTACTAAGTAAATAGTTTGCCTGCGGATGTTTCATAAGACAGTTAATTTCATTGCAAATTTATTTTTAATTTCCAGTAATAATAATGATTAAACCCCAAAACACACCCATCTAAAGTAATTTGGCATCTGGCATACATTTGTTTCTTCAATAGAACAAAACATGGGAACAGTATCTGAACTGCGTGATATAAAATTTGTAATTGAAATGGTATATAATTAAAGCAATAGCCCAGATACGCCAGCTTTCAAGATACTGTACGGACCTTTTGGTTTCCTCTAGGAACACAGAGGGAAACGCAAGTAAACTGTTATAACTTCTGCCTGGCAGAAAGGGAGAAAATAATAAAATTACAAAAAAATCAAATATAAAATGCATAAAACTGATAAGAAACTCAGAGGCTACATCTGGATATTTTTATTACAGTACCTCAAAAGAGTAAATATACAAAATTCTGAACTAAAAAACCAAACTAGTATGTTGGTGTTGTAGGCTGATTTAAGCAAAGGGCTGGATCCTGAATTCCTTATAAAGGTAATATTTACTTGCACATGCATCGCTTTTACTTTCATGCCCAAGATTATTTATAAATGATACATAACATGAAAAAGAACAGGGTAAAAGACCCAAGATGGTAATTATTGACTCGGAAGCTCAGGCTCTACCTAACCTAACCCAACCCTGTGATAAGCACACGTCAGTTAGTGATGTGGAAATTTTTATTGGACAACTATAGTCAGCTGTAAATTTCAAGTGCAAAATGTATCCAGAGTCTTCATTTATGTTGTGGGAGTTGTTTCTCCATAAAGGTTTCTTCTTGGTCCCTCTGCCTCATTTTAAGATATTGCTTCTAAAAGCTTTTAGGACACTTCTCTGCTTAACGATAAAAATATACAGATACATCCAGTTATGTTCTCTCATCAGAAGCTGGGCAAAGAAAACGACGAGTTGCCTAGTAGAGAAGATCTTGAAGGAAGGTTGAGGAAAAAGAAAAATCTCAACTGGAAACTTGAGAAAGTCTTTTTCGGCAGAGGCTTCAGGCTGAACTTGCTTACTAGATGCTAGCCTTTATTTTTCAAAAGCGGCTACACACCAAGTAACGGCCTTTGCAGAAGCTTTGCTTGGGTTGGGGACAAAGCGCCCTGTTGCCCCAAGTGCGCGGCTAGCTTTCTCAAGAGCGTCTGCTGCCAATGGCTGCACGCACCACTGCCCACACAAATGTCAAGGCGGGTCCGAATCCCTTTTGAACATTGCCCTTTCATGCCGCTCTCCTGCAAACAGCCAGGCTGTGGACTTTAAGCCTCGCTTTTCTCTTCCCCTTTTGAGAGCTGGCTGCTATGACTGCTTCTCCTTCCTTTCCCCGCGAAACAAAGCGCCTTTTGTTCACTAAGGGCAGCTCTTCCCCCTTACGCACCCCAAGGGATGCTTCCCCCACCCCCAGTCTTCTGTCTCCTTTTCTTTACAAGTTCTGGACTGCCCGAGGGCTGTTTGAACGCCTGCCTTTCTTTGGGAGGAGGATGCTGGGGGCTTGTCAGTGCCTGGCTCCCAGCTCACCTGCCGGGCAGTTCATGGCTGGGCCAGGTGCGGGGAGCGAGGCGCCTTCTCCCGCCCCAGGCAGCGCGGAGGCACAACCCCGCTCCTCCGTGCTCCGCGGAGCGCCCTGCCCGGCCCTTACCTTGTGCCGGAACTCCCGGGCCACCTTGCGCTCCATGCCCGAGGCCGCCGCGCCCGCACCGGCTCCCGGCTCCCGGCTCCGGCTCCGGCTCCTGGCTGCTGCCGCTCCCGCGCCGCGG